TTATTTCTGCAGGTGAGGGTGATGGACTCAGAAATAAGCTGAAAGTAGATGCTACTGGAGCAGATAATGGAAACTCCGAAGGAGATGGTGATGGAGAGGACACTAGTGAATTTGATGGGGAAACAAATACTGAAGTTGGAGATTCAGACGATGACGACTTAGAAGATTGTGACAATGGAGAGAACAAGGTTGAAACTGATTTTGATGCTTGAAGATCTCCCTTGCTAGCAATTCTGAATGGACTTGGGGCATTCACCAACTACAGTTGCCTATGATGAGCAATATCTCCAGGTTGAGAACGGAAAAAAAAATCTACTTCTGCAAGATGCTCTACAACCAGCATTAGTTAGCTGGCTTTCAATCATCTGAAATTCAGAAAGAATCTTAAGCTCATGAAGTTCAGGTACCAAGTAGCCAAGGATGATAACCAAGGATGATAAGTCTCCCATCAGTTCTTTCGGCGCTGTCATCACGGAATGGCCACGTCTAGCCAGACCAGTTCGACGTGTTGCTGCTGGAGCCTTTGCAGTTTACTAGTAATGTGTTGGCTAACAACTTGAGGGTGTCTTCAATCTGCTGGAACTTGTGGGCGAACCCCACCTCCATCCAACTCAAGCTATCTTGCAACTCTCTCAAACTGGCTTCCAAGTTTTCAATTCCTTTTTTGTTTGTTGTCATGACTCTAATACTAATTGATAGTTCTCTTTCAAAAACCAAAGAAAATTAGTAAAGAAATTTTCTTCGGGTGAAAATAAATCACAAGATTTTATATTCAATAATTGCCACCTTCATTGCTGCTTAAGAAAAGTTTAAATACAATAAAAATACAACTGCTAATTCCTACTTTTAGGCATTAAGGATAATGGAACAAGATCATGAAATTAGAAAATAGGATAATGACTTCAACTGCTTGCTGAAAATCGAATAATGGCTTTAACTACTTGCTGACTGAGTCTACCACAACTGCTACTCACCGTTTTATTGCTGAGATACTTTGGGTGTGTAACAATGTATAGATAATTAGCTATACATGTTTGGTGAACATATATAAATGTTTTAAACAGGAGTTAAGATCCTATTCACCATTGTTAGATTCCCTTCAACAAATTAGCAGCAGTCTTCTGTTTCCATCTCCGTCCCGGACTCTTCTACTCTCTTTTCATCCTCACCTTTCTCAATCTTCAATTTCTGCCCGACCACAAGAAGCATCACCATGAATCAGAAACCTCATTTACAGAACATAGTTAGTATCTAATGATGGAGATATCTTAAATTTTCCAAACATGGTACAGCTTAAAGACATTAACTCTAAGCACTAGACTTCTTGGACCTTTCTTTCAAGGTTTCTAATGTTAGAACCACAATCAAAGAAAAAACAAGATGACTCGCCTTCAACTCCTGGGATGAATCTTTTGTCAGACATGCAAACATATTTCTATACAGCTTGGCATCTCTCTTGTTGCTCTCAGCTTGAAGTTGTTTCAATGTCCTCTGGATTGACTTCACCTCCCTGTAAAAGGAACAATAATGATATAACTATAAGGCATTCCTGTATCAATTCACAACGCAGCCTGATTAGTCCCTCTCGAGTCCCTTGCCTGTTTTGAGGATCAGCCTCAAGAGCTTTCTTGATATCCAATTCTGCAGAAACCAAATCTGAAGTTTCCATATACGCCTGTGCCCGCCTATATAAAGCTTTCACATTGTAGAACTCAATATCCAGCACCTACAAGATAAAAAGTTGGAAGAATAAACAATCTATTAAAGAGAAATACTCCCGAATAGGCAGATATATATGTTGGAGGTCCAGGAAGTAGGTTCCTTTGTGATCTATCAAGAGTCAAAAAGCAGGATTCTCATATTAACCAAATTAACCGAAAAACAAAACCATTATAACCTTTTTGTTTGTTTGACTTAGTTTTTACTTGATTATACTGGCCTTGTCAAATGTGTAAACTTTGGTGTCTCACCCTTGAACATAATTTAATTGCTTCTCTGAAGTCCTTCAGTTTGAGACTACAAGCTGCACCATTCAACCAGCAGGATACTCGTAAAGCTTTTACTTGCTTCAATTCGTCATCCCCAAATGAGCCATCTTCACTAACATAGTCAGCAGCCTAAGGATACACGACATAACTCAATTCAGCTTTGATTCCAAACTACGCATCAATCCCTAACTTGATGGTATCTTGATGCACAAAAGCTAAATTCCAGTCAATAACTGTACACACAGTTCGAATCAAGTTAAATGCTGAACTAAACTGAGTTACCTTATCATATTTCTTCACTGCTCGCTGATACTTCTCACTTTTAAAAAGCAGGTTTCCTTCTTCTTTAATTCTCCCAGCAGCCTCAATTTTCTCCTGATTATTTATCTCCCAATGTGTTTTCTCCTTTTCATGAAATAAATAATCATAATAAGACCAACTTCAGGCATTATCTTTCAAAACAATAGGAGGATCACTTAGCATGTGCAGCATTTGTAATTTCCCATTGTTAAATGGAAATAACATAAAATGAATATGATTTTAAAATTTATTTTCAAAAAAGCATTACTAGCATGAGTTTATCTTCTCCATATTAGTGGAATTCCCCAACCAGTATCACATCTTTTAAGGAAAGATTAATTTCCTATTTCTAAGACAGAACATTAAGGAATTTCCAACAAAAATGAATAGCTAGTAACATTTATGGACGATGTGCGAAGAATTTTATAGGAAAAGTTAGAACAGTGCACTCAGAGACTAAGTATTTAGGTTAACACTCAGAAAACCACCTATTCTAAAGGTGGATGGTTTGGAACAAACACTGTGCCAAATATCTACCTTATGATACCTATAATCTTTACCTTGATAAAGTTTAGCATTTCAACTTCATAGACTAAGTTTGAATGTGATGGGACAGCAGCACGCTCACGCTGCACCTCAGTACTTCCGAAACCATATTCAGGATTTATGGTTAATATTGCCTTCTCCCCCTTCTTCATTGTAGCTGCAGCTCGGTCTAAACCAGCAATCACTTGTTCTAGAAGTGGGAAAAATGCAACTAAGTGACTTTCCTCTCCAATGATCTTATGAATGAAATTAAGGATGAACTAACCTTCATCAGTAACAAACTGTAAAGGCTGCTCTCCATCAACTCCTTTCTTTTCAAATAGAGTACCATCTTCTAGCTTAGCAGTATAGCTAACTGCAAAGTTGAGAGTTTTACAATATGAGAAATTTCATCAACATATTTGGCCTCAGTCAACAGGATCTATCAAATATAACTTTCCCCAGACTATAGTACAGAATATCTTATGCCAAACTTGATCCTTAAAACTTATTCAATATGAAGTGATTTGGACAACATTGCCCCAAACTTCGACCTAAATAAAAAGATACTTACTAGTTACTGTTGCACCATCATTTGCAACCACACTACCTTCCCCCTCTTTCAGAATTTTCTTAATAACCTTGGAATCACCAGTAACATCAATAACAGGCTTGAAGGACACCAGCTCCAAATCAATATTCAGCACAGAATTGGAGGGAACTTCATGGATCCCGTTACTAGAGTCCCTCCCCTCATTTCCAAAAGCATCTGCATTTTTAAATAATTTCACAAGGTAAAAAGAAAAGAAATAATTGAAACATAAAATGACTTCAAAAATGTCTATTCCTATATTAGAATAAATTTAGTACCAAACTAGAAATAGAAGCATGAAGAAGGGATGTATGTTAAGACTCCTGTTTGCAGAATCATTGCCACGAACTGGTTAGAACCACCTTTGAGAATGATGAAGTAAATGTGCCTAAAGCATTTAAGTGCTGATTCTAAAGAACAAACAATTCGTGTTTGATTAAAGATGTCATTACAACAAAAATATATTTGACAAATAATAAATATGTGAAGGTAAATGAGTAACCAAACATTTCCCCCAGATGAATTAAAAAAAGAGAAGAGAAAAGAACAGAACCGTAACTCAATAGAAACAAAATTTACAAAGAGGTTTTTATTTGTTTTCCAGCTGGAAGATGTTTATTGAGTAGTAACACCCAGGTAGAGTTGAACATGGTGCTTGGCACCCAATAAGCACAGCTAAATACCCTCTAATACATCATATACAAAGCATCTAAGGCCTTTCTACTCTACTAACTCTATCATGAACTAATAACAAGGGAAGATGAGTGGACAGATTATTTCTATCATAAAATTATTGTCCAAACTTGCTAAAACTAACAGAAAGATGAGAGAAAATGAATATCCAATGCAGCAGTTTTAAAAAGTATTCAAACACATACACTGAGGTTGAACAAATAATTTGACTCTCTCTCCTCTTCTCATGGTCAAAATTGCTTTCGGCAAAGCAGGACATAGATGGCCTGAAAAAGTACACACGTGTCATAGATACACAAGTATCTTAAATATTATAAAGTTCAAACCCACCCACATAAGTATCATAAGAAATAGTTCATGCCACGCTAGGTACCATCCTTTACATAAAACTCGGTTCCTCCCTCTGGTGTTTTTGCAACAATAGTGCCATCAACAAGCCTCGCTTCGTACCTCACTGCAGATAGCACGGGAAATGTTTATCGACGCTGTTACACAACCATCAATGATAGTGTAGCCAACTTCAGAAAATGAACAGGAAAAAGAAAATAATAATTAAACGTGGCGCAAAAAGAGGTTTACCGAGAACTTCATCCAGATTACTAGGCTGCTCATTCGTCTCTCCCTTCGCTATAATCTTCTTGATAATTCCACCATCTTTACAAACATCCACCACAGTGATCCACGAAACAAGTTCAACCTCGAACTGAACAATGGCATTGGGAGGCACTTTGTTACCACCATCAACTCCATAAGCCAACTCAGGAGGCAATGTGAACACTGCACATTCCCCTCTTTTCATGGTAACAATCCCATTATCCAGTCCAGTCACCACCTCACCTATCAATTAGCGACAAACCTATCGAAGCCATTTAAACAAAACCAAACGCTAATTAACCGCACCCTCTCCAAAACCCCAAACAAAACTCACCTCGACCAAGCTTCAAAGTCAACGGCTCATCTCTCTCTCCCGTGGAACCGAACTTAGTCCCGTCAAGCAAAGTACCCACATAATGAACTGCACCAAGTTAATCAATTAATCATTTTTCTTCAATTTCACAGTAAACCCAGAAGTTCGAAAAGCAGAAAATAGCTTCATATTCATACAAAAATGAGTACTATATATATCGCAGTGAATTCTTTCGTTTGTATTCGCATGTGTTCCGTGCTGTGTATATAAGCGAGTTTAAATGTCGGTACCAGCAACCTCGTCGCCAAATTCGGGGGTCTCCCAGCCACGGCCGCGCTTCAGGAGCTTCTTTTTAATCCCAGAATTACCGAGCTCTCTCTCTTGGCCGACCTCGAGAGGGGGAGCTGATTCGATCACCTCCCCAGGTTCCTCGTCCATCTCGTCGTCGTCTTCCGTGTCTGACACGTTCCCCCTCGTTCCTCTCTCTGCACCCATACCCTTTCAGTACCGCCGATAGGGAAGCACCAAGATTTCCAATTCTTCGCTGGTAAGATTAGTGTTTCGCGAAATGGTTCGAAATTAAGAGTGGGGTAAGCAGTCGGACGGCAAAATTATGTGGCAGGCGACAGAGTGGGAGTGAAAGAAATGAAAAGGGTAAATTAGGAATTTCACTGGAGAACTTCTGGATTCTTCCTGTGCCCTAACGCCCATAATAAGCGGGTTAAATTGAGCAAGTTAAATGGACCAATCAGGTTCCGTTTAGTCTAATTCAGTCAAGCCTGGTTTAAAACAATATAAATATTTATTTAATTATATTTAGTTATAAATAAATCGAATAAAAATATAAATTAAGTTTTTTTTGGTTAATTACTTTTGAATAATATTTTGCCTATTTTTTTATGCTTAGAAAAATAAATATTTTATAAAAATTAACTAAAATTTAAATTATTATTTGTCACAATGAAGTAAATAATTATTAATAACAATTGCTCCTATGACAAATATAAAAATATAATTGTTTACTCATTTTCAGTATTTGAGTAAGTACGAATAATAAATATAATTTAACAATATGGATATAGAATGGGATAAATTGCATATTCGTTTTTTTTTTTTTTACTATTCTTAAATGGTGATGGTATAAAAAATAAAAAATAAAAAATAAAAATTTATATTAATTGTTAAAAATGTATTTACATTTTTTAATAAATTAAATATTTGTTTAAGATTTATGTGGTGTTTAAATCTTCAATAAACTAATTACATATAATGAAATCATCCTAAGAACAATTTTTTTTCAAATTACATGCAATGAGAAATATACAAAGGACCAAACAGTTTAAATAAAATGAAAGGACATTGGTAGAAATTGGAAAAAAACTTTGGCCAATCAAACTTACTCCGTCATAATTATTCGTTGTCTTTTTCAATTTTGGTTATTTTCCAAAAATTTTATGTGAATACTTAAATAAGTTTTTTAAACGTTGTTTTAAATAAAAATAATAATGATTGGTTTGTCTTTTACGATAACTTTAAGTTTATCAAAGTATATTAAACCTACTTAATTTTTTCAAACTAATATATCTAATAGATCAATACTCAACAAGTTTATAAGTAGTTTCTCATTTCTTCATGTTATATTTTTAATTTTTAATTATTTATTATAAAAAAATTAATTATAAAAGTTTAATATAAATCAAACTATTCTCACTTTTATCTTCACATTTGAATGAAAATTAAATATTAAATAATTTCGGCTTTGGATAAGTAATAATTATAACTAATAAGAAAGTATTTGAAAGAAAAAAAAATACTGTAGAATGTTAAATACATGTTATAACGGTCCCAGAAATTTAAAAGGAAATGCATATAATAACTTGAGTGCGGAAACGAAATAAAAGTTAAGGTTAATATCCCTTACACGATAACTTAAAAGTACTAAATAAACATCACGGAATAAATTCTCTGAAAGAAATACGAGAAATTGGAAAAATAAAGAAAACTATAAATTATCTAACATCTACTCGCAGCTTTCTTGCAGATTTGGCTCGGGAACCAGGTCCTCCTGATCTTAAATGGTTAAATAAATGGTGAGCTACACTAGCCCACTAAGGACATCACACTATATCACCGGCACAGAAGTAAAGGTTGGTAGAAAACCAAAAACAACCAATGGAGCACTAAATTTAAACCAATATATTCATTAAAAGTAAAAACATGTACCCTTTTTCTTACTATTGGGAAATCTATGAAAAAAACCTATAAAGACAATAACATCATACCGATCATAACTTCATGCACAATCAGTAACATAGAATATATCATAAATTCATATTCAGTAACAATAACTAATCATCACTGTTTCTCGTTTCACCAGCTTACTAGTATTCATGGGGATCCATAGGGGTGTCCCCGCTACACGTGAACCATTTTCCTTACAATCTTAATTCCAAAGTCGTCCTCATACCCCGTTCGAAATGAGTGCCAAGACATTAAACCTCAATACCCCGTCCGGTATGAGGGTGAAGCGGGTCGTCCCCATACCATGTCCGGTATGAGCGCCAAATTACCAAGTCACCATACCACGTCCGGTATGAGACAACGTTTACGGTAGAGTTTTCTATGAACCTGATCCGCCCACTATCTCTCAGGATATCTAGTGAGACTGTCATCTTATTTGTTTATTTGATCACATCCCTTTCTTGTTTCTCCTTAATCTCCGTTACAAAATTAGACACAATCACACAAACAATGAACATGCACCCAGTAATACAATCATATCTTAAATCCCAAAATCACACAGTGGTCAAGTAAGACAGTAATACATGCATTTAAAATCCTAAACTAGATATCATCATGTCTTTAAACTATAAAATAAATCAACAGGAATCAACAGAGAACAATATCCGATTTCGGGCTCCCTTAAAAATCTGTAATTAATTATGCATATTTATCTAACTTGTACAAAAGACCATATTATTATTTATTCAAAATTCACATCTATGATAGGAAATAGGGTGAGGGGTCTTTACCTGATTCGACGCCGAAAACTAAACGGTTACTGCACCTACGGGCGGTCCCTAGCTTCCCTGAATTTTCTTTCAGGAACTGGAACGTGCTTACGGTACCTACAAATGTCCCAAATAAACCTAAAAATGGTCTCAGCGCCTACTCAGTAAATTTCAGAAATTCGGCACAGCGGCCCCGCCGTGCTCCAGCGACCCATCTCGAGTTGGCTGTTTTCGACTGTTTTCGGCCGAATTCAGCCAAACTTGCATCGGTTCCTACGAGAAAACACACTTAGGACCCTCGATGGGCAAAAAAAAGTAGAAAATTGAAACTTACTGGTGGTGGGGCGCTTCGGTGCGGCAACTCCTCCGACTCACGTTGCGGTTGGGTGTTTTGCTTATGTCAACTTATAGAGAAGGAAACGGTGATCACAACAGTGGAAAAATCACATCAAACGGGAATCAGAAAGGGTCTCATCAGAGGCATTTTTCGAAACACCCCGCAGTGGCACCGTTGAGCTTCAGCGGTTTTTTTCGATCAATTGGCCAGTTCTTTCATTCTGATTTTGCCATGGGTGTGTTTAAAATTGAATTTCGTGCAAGAGGAGAAATTTTTTACCTCATTTGGTGGTCAGAAATTGCTCCGGTGCGGCGGCATTCGGCTCTCCGGCGGCTGGGTTGTCTTTTCCGGCGATGGGCTCTGGCAGCTAGGGTTAGGGTTTGGGTGAGGATGGGGTTATTTATACCCATCCGCTTTTGATCTAGGACATCTATCGCTTTTAATCTGAACCATCCAATCCGATTAAATAGGGAGTGAATTTGGACCGTTCATCGCGATTCAATTTGGGTCATCCGTGCGTGATTCAATCTGGGTCATCTGTGCGTGATGCAATCTGGGCCGTCCATGCGCGTTTTCAATCTAGACCCTCCGTGCGCGCATAAACGAATCTCAGCCGTTCGATCACGCACACGCGGATCACCCACGTGGCTCCACCAGCATGGCCTCCCATGTCAGCGCCTCTGCCACCTGGCGTGTCCTGGTTGATCGGGGCTGTTGACCGAACATCTGACGTGGTGTAACTTTTCTAAATTATGATTTTACCTCGATTTTCGATTTTTCTTTCAAAAATACCCCCAGAACCCAAATTCTTATCCATTTTTCTCAAAATTATTTTCAAATAAATCTTTAACTAATTTTTTACCCTTTATCATTATTATTATTATTATTATTATTTTCATTAAATCAAATTAAAATAAAATACATTCAATTAATGAATAATTATAGTTATAAAAAAATAAAAATAAAAAAATAAATGTTGGGTGTTACACACGTGAATGATGATTAAATATTAAATACATGATATGCAACATCCCGAGCCTGAAAATTAGTCTCGGAATGGGGGATTTTAATTTTTTTAAATAATAATAATGTATAAATTTTTAATTTATTTTTATTTTTTTAGAATATATACATTTTGGGCATCTTTTAAAATAAATTTTAGAATTCAGGGCCAAACTGTAAGTAAATGATGACATGTTTGAAAGAGAAATTTGAAAATAAGGGTCGAATCGCAAAAAGAAAAAAAATGGGTCATGTTGATGCCCAGTCATCAGCGCAACAAACCGCTGCATGCCGCGTGATGGCCACATCAAACACAAGCTCCACGTGGGAAGCCTACGCAGGCAATCTGCGTGCCAGGAAGATCGGACAGCTCGTGTCCACTCCCGAGTGTGCAAATGGCCCAAATCAATTTTTCGAATAAGCTCGATCGAACGATCATCTTCGCTCTACGTTGACCCAAACGAACGGTCAGGATTAAGGAAATAGAGGATTTAAACCTCTCTTCAGTCATCCAAAAACCCTAGCCGATGTAAGGTCATCGGAGAAAAAGAATAAGGGTGGCCGAAGGAGAGTTCAGCCACTGGAGAAATGCCAGCGCCACCGTGCTGGACCCCAAAATGCACAGGTAAGCCCAAATTTTCTTTTTATTCTTCTCGTTTCTCCGTCCTTAATGCCTAAAATGTTTCCAATGCAGTGTAACTGAGAGAAGCAACAAACTGCGAGGGAGGGACAGTGGAGCTTGGCTGAGCCGCCGCACTGGAGAACCAAAACTGCCGATTAGACATAATTTTTCCCCTCCCTTCTCGCATACATCCCCTACCTACAATTTAAAACAAATTTTCACCAAGGAACTGACCAAAATCGGTTACACC